TTGATACAAAATTATAAATAAGTTATTAACTATATATTATTTTACTTTATTATGTATTATATATATAATAATAAAATGTAAATAAAATGTAATATAATATGTAAATATATAATAATACTACATAAATAATAATATAATTATAAACAATATAATTTGTTATATAATATCATTTAAAAAAATTATACTTGAAATTTTAAAAAAATTATACTTGAAATTGTATTTAAAATCAGTGCAACTCTTTAAACATTTCATTGTTTTCATTTCCAACATGGGCTGACATTGAATCTGTCGCAATATTCTCATCCATCATGCGTAGAATTTGGTTCTCATCTACATAATAATTCAGCCATTGTTCATCAACCTCAGTAGTTGATTTCTTTCTTCGTAACAGTCGATGACCGTCCCAATCTTTAGCATTATTTAATATGCTACCAATTGTTGAAAAATAGATTTTGTCTGCTTTCCATGCCTGCTGCGGATTTATTTTCAACAATTCTTTAATCAGCACTTCTGTAATTTACGAATACAACTTAAATATTGTATAATTACATAAATGATATATAAATATAATAAATATGTAATAAAAATGTACATATATATAAATATATATGTATATATATACCTCTAACGCATGATGAGAATTTAGTCTCTTTGAGAACCTCCTTACCATGAACTTTCTTCACCGCAGTATAGGCCAAAGCCACCTCCCTCGACATGTACTTTTTAAATATGTTAGTTAAAGATTTTAAAATTGATCCATTTATGTCAATGTTTAGTAAGATAGTCTGTTTCTAAACAAATAATAATGTAAAATTAAATATATGTAACTTCATAAATACTTTTAAATTACATTTAAAAAGAAAGTTTACGAAATTATCCCGAAATGTTTTGTCCTCCTTCAATTTCTCATCAAATGCAGTGAACTCTGCTACGGTTTTGCATGGCAATTCCATTTCATATTTTTCTGCAAAATTTAAGCAATATTGGAAGTTATTTGTAGTTGCTAGATTCTTCAATTCTTGCACTGCCACTGACAGTTGTGTTAATTGTGAACAAATACTACGAAAGCCAGATGCGCATAAACGTGCTAGATCTGTAATGAAATATAATATAATTAAAATAGAATTACTTTTCTGATAACAGAAGTAATAAGAATTTTCAAAAAGAAACGAATAAAAAAACAACTTAATTACATTAACAAAAACTAACCGTTATTATTGTAATCGTTGCTTTCATGGACATCTAGAAAACTGTTTGCGTTTGAAAAATTAGAAGTAACTTGTTGAGATTCTATAAATAAACAATATCTGTGTATAAAAAATGTAAATTTAACAAAGCACAAGTCAGCAGTGATTAGCATAAAAATTAATATTTACCACATGCTTTCGCGGTACTGTTCTGGTTTGTCGAAACTTTATTTTGAGAGGTTACTATATATAAATAAACAGACAATTAATATACATACATTAATTAAAATAAAATCATCAATGTATTAATGAATAACTTACCATCTCTTTTCGGAGTGCTATTTTCTTTTATTGTCGATTTTAAAGATAATGCAGTCGGATTTTTAGAGATCACTAAAACAAACATATCATTAATATATATTTATTAAAATGAAATCATAAATGTATCAATTGTGAGCAATATATCATCTTTTTTTGGAGTGTCATTTTCATTTTCATTTATCACCAATTTTAAAGATGATGCAGACGGATTTTTAGAGATCACTAAAACAAACATATAATTAATATATATTTATTAAAATGAAATCATAAATGTATCAATTGTGAGCAATTTACCATCTCTTTTCGGAGTGCTGTTTTCTTTTATTGTCGATTTTAAAGATAATGCAGATGGATTTTCAGAGATCACTAAAATAAACATATAATCAATATATATTAATTAAAATGAAATCATAAATTCATTAATAATTGTGAGCAATATACCATCTTTTTTTGGAGTGCCATTTTCATTTTCATTTATCACCAATTTTAAAGATGATGCAGACGGATTTTTAGAGATCACTAAAATAAACAGAAAATAAATATGTATAAATAAATGAAAATGTAATCATAATAATGCCAATAATAATTGGAATATATCAGTATTTTTTTGCATTAATTTAGCTTTAAATTCCAAAGGGTTAAATAAAATAAATAATATGTACAGAAAATTAAGATGTCTTATTTTGAGAAATAAATATAGTATATAAGTATAATATATAATAATACGTGTTAATAAATAAAATTTTTACCATTATTTTTGCTGTAACTATAGAGTTTTTTTCCGTAATTATTGTTCGAAGATGTGTCAGACTCTTCATTAGAATTTGTGACAGCTAAAACGTATAAAATAAATATTTAAAAACTGCAGTAGAAAAAATATCGCATGAAAGCAACATTGAACAATTACTACTATAATTAGTAACACTTACAGTCAGTCACTTTACTACAGTCACTGTTGTCGTTATCCGACTCACTGTCTAATGATGGCACATTCAGTAGTTTCTTTTCAAGATCTTTATTAGGTTTCACCGCTTTTAATTTATAGCTTTTTTTATCGGCAAGTGATCTTATTTGACCGTGATCACTGCTGGTAGAATATGCATACTCTTTTGAATTTAACAATTTTAATTTACTTACAGCCGACTTGTAATTCTCTAAAAAAACATTAATTTTGAAATTATCAAAATTTATATTCATATGACATATTAGATTACGAAATATAAGAATAAACTTACTAGCATCACCTACGAGATTTACTTTATATGACGGCCAAGAAGTTGGTGGATTTGATTTGGATTTAACAAGGCAATGAAGAATCTCAGTTGACTCTGTTGTGTACGGTGGCGGCATAAAGATCGTCATCAAATGATCAGACACAACATCATATGTTATCCATGAGCTTAGCACAATGTCAATACATCTTTGTTCGTCTTCATACCTTTCTACAAAGTGTACGAGTTTGTACACGTTCTCACATTTCTCCTCATTCTGCGTAAAAATAAATTATATGTATCATACACATAATAATTGTGTATAGCTAAGAAAGTATGTTTTAGTAACAGCATCATTAGCAAAAATTTCCATTACGAATGGAAAGTTGGTTAAGGGGAAAAAAGTTAAAATTCATGTTTAATAAAACAATAGTTATCAATATTTACAAAATTCTCATACTTTTATGCGACTTTAACATTTATTTTTGATCGATTTGTCATTCACAATGGAAATTTCAGCTGAAAAGTACATAACTAAACCTATCAATATAAATTTGTTCGCGTCGCATGCTCCAGCATGTTCCAATATGCTTCTAATATTAGTTCTACTTATAGTTTTTACTCATTCGAACACACTTGCAAGAGTGAGTAAGAGCAATAATAGCAGCATGTTGGAGCATGTTGGAGCATGTTGGAGCATGCAAACAAATCTATTTTTACGTTTAAAGGAAATCATATTAGAGAAAAAGAAAAATTTTCCAGGTAAATGATGAGGTTAACTAACTAATAATTGAGGTTAATACTCACTAAGAATCTTACGAAATTGTGACAATGGAGATTAAAGTGGAGAATAAAAAATATATATATAGAAATAGATTAAAGAAAAAGATATACCTCAAAGATCGATTTCTTTTTGGACATTTTTCACGTCTTTGCAATAAATTTTCAATTTATTCTGCGAAAGCGAATGTTACGTTCGAAAGTGAATAAATAGCGACTGATAGCGACATGGCATTGTGGATCGTGGCGCGTAAAACTTTGAAATGACTATCGGCAAAGCGCCAATCAGAGATTCCAAGCGTACGTCACATTGAGCGGCAAATTTAAACAACGAATATGTAGCAGTCTTATAAAAGCATTTTGAGTAAATATAATTATATTTAAATACAATATAATTTTGACGATTTTTGAAAACAATGTTTTTTAATATATAATATATAATAAAATTATATGTTATATATAATAATTGTATATAATATATAATAAAATTATATAAAAGATA